CCCCGCGGCGGAGCCCCCCCCCGGCTCTCAAGGGACCCCCGGCGGTCCGGCCGGGCCGAGAGGAAAGTTTGGAGTTACACTGAGCCCGCCCCCTCCTCCCGCAAAGGTTGGTCCAGCCTGGCTGGAGTTTGAACGCTATTTAAAAAAAAACCCACCCAACAAACCCCAAACTTTCGCAATTTTGTTGAAATTCACGCCGAGGGCGGATTTTCTCGCCTCTCCGCGGCAGGCGGGCGAGCGCGGCGGTGAGTTCGGAGGCTGTGCTTGAGCTCGCCGCTGCCCGCAGGCGTTCCAGCGCACACCGCGACTATCGTGACAGTCGCGGGGTTTGTTTTCTGTCCGCGGTCGCCGGTGGGCTGTCGGCTGTGCGCACGCGTGGGCCACGCCGGAGGGGTTTTTGGCGTGCTTAAAGCAGCGCAAGTGAAGAACTGGTTTTTTCTGGGGTGTGCCTCGCAATCCTTTTTTTTCAAAAAAAAAAAAAAAAAAAATTCACCTTCGCGAGAGCTGGTGGATGCTCTCGGTGCAGGCGGCTTTCTGTTCGGCGTGGCCGTAAGATAGAAATCTTCAAAGCACCGCGTACTTATTAGCATGGAAGTGTCGCCCAGAGCAGTGCAAAGATCACGTAATGAAAGCATGCCATAAAAGAAAGGCAAAAATAAGCCAATACATCACATTTGAGATTTGCCTACAGATTGGAAAAAAAAACCCAAACAAAACCCACAACAAAGCACTATAGGCTAATGACCGTGTTTTCTTCCTTTTTCTTCTTTCTTCCTCACCTTATTATTATTTTATTTATATTTTTTGGGGGGGAAGCACTTCCCTTAGTCCCTGTAGCTGGGTTAAAGCTACCAGTAGGTAACTTTTAAGTGGATGACTCACTTTAATCCATTTTACATAAGAAAAGCAGTGCTAACGGTAGTCTTCCCCATTGTTTAAGGCTGGGTAGAATTTATTGCCCTCGTTCGTCCTGTGCAGGAGGATGAGTTTACAGCAATTACCAGCAATGCATTTTCACCAATTCGTACTGCTGGGAGGTTGATATAATTGTATTCAGTTCCGAGTATCCGTTCCATTATGAAAGACTCAAAGGGATGCTCGCACTGTTAAATGAAAGAAAGGAATACAAAGACAAGTGTAAAAGAACCACTTAATATCTTCTAACTTGAATAAATACAGCCTTTCATTGAAGGGAAAATTATCTTTTAAAATATTCTCGTGTTGCAGTTTATAAAGATGTGCCATGTAGAAGCAAGAGTGACAAAATACAAAGCCGGGGCTTTGTAAGTCAGTGCTTTTCATGTGTTTGAGCTCCTGTATTTACTGTTTCTTATTGAGCTGATAAGGTTGTCATACACAACCAATTACAGTTTATCCTCTACGTAGATTTTTCTAGTTTTAAAAGAGAAGGAAATATGGAACCTAGTGAAATTAAAAGAATACTGTATAAAAAGGATATTGTATAATTTCAAATAGAAGTCTAGATCACTTTTTAGCATAACGTTACGTGATATTTCCTTAAAACTGTTTTTGTCCCTCTCTCTCCATGTTTGCCAATTCCCTTCAGTATTTACCTTTACTGCCAGTCATGATAATAAAAATTGTCAACAGGGAAACATATTATATAACTTTAATTATAACTATGCCTATGATTAAGTAATTCAGAATATGATGTTAGTCAACAGCATTTCCATGTTCTACACAATCTACTTGCTCTTGGCTTTCTTTTTTCTCATTATTATTCCATTGAAATATCGTAGAAACAATCCATAGTGCATGTCCATCCTTCATAGTAATGTTTCTCCTTTGAAATGAAATCAAAGTGCAAATAAGGCTTAGTTCATTTAGAAGACAGCACAACAGGTTGATGCAGGGAGAGCTGCTTTGCAAAAAGTAATGATGTAACAGGTGAAAGAGAAAACAATTTTTGGATTCTTTTTAAAGAGTTGACAGCGGTGTTTTGTTTCTTACTATAGATTACAAATGGGGAAGAACAAAGAGAAGTGACGCAAATGCCCTTAATGTGAAAGATTTTATATTTTAAGAATATTAAAAATAGGGAAAAAAACACAGGAGAAGAGAATAAAGGAAAGAAAGGGTATTAATAATTGAAGCACTGAAGGTTTTCTGATATTATGTTCTTAGCTACCTTCTTTCTCCCCATTATTTTCAGTCTCTTTTTCTCTTAGTTAAAAAGTTGGTCTGAGGAAGCAGTATTTCCCAGCTGTTGTGGGAAAAATGTGCATATTCAGGGCTACATAGTTTACGATTTCATCAGCAACTCATTACTGTACAATCACTTTTCCTTCAGTCATCTCTTTCTTCTGCATCAGTAAATATTTTAACATGTGCTTTTACTAAAACATTCAGAAGTCCTTATCACCAATACAGTAGTATACAGGTACGAAAGATTTTTAGCAAAAAAGTGCTGAAGATTTAAGCAATGCCTGTCTCATAGAATCTCAGCCATTTGATTCATTTTACTTCTCTGACAAGGCAAAAAGGCTCTGATATATTTACCCAGCAATGTATGGAGAATCTCAAGTGAAGGATTGTGCTGTATGAAATGGGAGCCTTAATTTTTCATTGCAAATTTGTGCAGGTGGTATAATGGCATTTGTTGCTTCCTGTGTTGGAATATTTCACTGCAAATATTGAAGACTCTTCTTTAATGAACTGTTTAAGTATAGCAGTAATTATGTCTTGATCTTTAGCTATAAGGCTTAGCTACTGATCGATATATATTAGGTTTCATTAAAAAGTATCATTTTCATTGTATCATGTATTAGGGATCTATTACATGTTGGTACAGGATATCATGCTCTTACTTTTAACATAGCAACTCCCAAGTACTTCAATTATACACACAGCACAGCAGATATTTTGCACTTACATGAGAATATTGTTGCATATGGTACTCCTGTCACTATAACCACACTACTGCTAACACAGTATGCAAAGCATTTCTTTCTTTGTAGCCATATATATTTATTTATCATCTGCACCTATACAGACTTAAGAAAAAAAATACTATTAAGTAAATGTAGTTTGTATGTTTCCTGATAAAGGTAGCATAGGACCCTCTCCTTGTTTTTTTTTTTCTATATTGCATCAAAACTGATAGTCTTGAGTTTAAAAATACATTGTAATTCTTAAGTATACTTTTGACACCGTATGTCTTATCAGTGTTGATATTTTTACTGATAGTGAGTAATGTAGGATATAAAGATGTACCTGCTGCTTTCTGATGATAAACCTGTCTGTACTGATTAAAAAAGAAAAAAACAACCAACAAAACAAAACAGATATTTTAATTTTGATAAACCCACGGATGAAGCCTTTCAATATGAATGGTACTGTTTCCATAATTACATCATTCTGGATATAGCTTAATGTCTGTTTTTATTTTATATTCTCTCATTTTCCACCCCCACTCATTTTCTCTCTTTCCTTTACCTTTTATCCTTTTTTCCTCCACAGTCACCTGTTCTGTATGTAGAGGTTAAATTACACATTATATTCAAGATGGATCTGATACTTAGATAAATCGGTGTAAACCGCTTGAGCATAAAAATAATATAAAGAGGATAAAAATAATATACATATGAACTTATCTATATATGTATGCTGGCAGGAAATTTTTAGAAAAGAAGTTGTGTATTCCCGTTTTTTATTTGTATGAATCATCCTTACTGTTTCGGTGTCATTAGGACAACTCAGGGAAGTCTATATGAGTCATATGAATTAGGGCTTGCACAACTGGGACATTCGTATTTTTGGTTTCTGCGCATGGACCTAACAAGTGTAGGTCTTGCTGAGAATGTAGCGAGGCTTGGTACACAGTGTCGCTTTTTATATCAAATCAGTGACCGAATGTAGATAGAAGATATTTATGATGTGTCCTTTTCATCTGTTTCTACTGTCAGACTCAGGGATTTTGACACATCTCATATACATATAATCTCATTTTTAGCATAAAGTCTGTGACAGAAGAATGCCAATTTTTTTGCTGATGTTAATTAGAAAAGACAGCTGCATTAATGGATTACAAAATATGAGGCTCCTTCTCATTTGAAAATTTATTTTCCAATCTATTTAAAAATCTTCATTATTAGGAAAAAAAAAATCTGCTGAAGTGTACCTTTGTATCAGTGAATTGGAAAGAAAGCCAAAACATGCAATCTACTTAGAATCAGGGAAGTGCAATATCACCTCTTAGTGTTTTCTCAGCAGCACATGTCTGAATGCTGAGCATTACATGAGATGTATAAACTCACTGATATTTTAAAAAGTATTGCTCCAATCCGTTCTTCTAGTAGAAACATACTTAAAGATGAGTGCAAAACAGCTTGTTGATTGGTGTTGGTTTCTTTTGTGAGTGTCTCTGTACATGTGGTGGTGATAAATGCAAATTATTTGGATCCACAAAGCATTTTTCTGTTTTACATATTTTATGTTGTAAATGCTATTTTTTTTTTTCTTTTTCGGTTTCCCCTCTTAGACATTTATGCTGGGGCCTCAAAGTTAATGAATTCTATAGATTTACGTTTTATTAACTATGAAAATTCAGCTGAAAACATCAAAATAGATACCGATCATGAGACAAAATTTCATTGAAATAAATCAGCATTGTAGAGGTTCTTGCCATCTTTCATTTTGCAGTGATGCTATTTTCAGAACTGCATTGCTCATACCCTGCAAAATGATTTTATCCAAGAATTCAGCTGCTAGAAAGAGAGCTGGAGCTTGGCAGCACATTAGTCTGAAATGTATTCATTGTTAAATAGAAGGCCTGTTGTACAGATCTTAAAAAATATTTATCTAGCAGAGCATTTTAAATTGATGGAAGCACGATCAAATTATTGTTACTTTAATCTTTTCTAACAAAGAAACAAAACAGACTATAGTTGTCCACTGATAACTGTGATCTGAC